TGTCTTAACTAAGAAAAAAAAGTTGATATACAAGTTTTACAGAAATCAGGAAATTAATTAGAGAGAGTATAAGTATACAGGTTTACAGAAATCAGGAAGTTAAATAAAAAGAGTAGGTATAAAAACAAGATACTACAAAAATACAAAAATAGTACAATTAAGGCTATACTTGTTATTCTAGAAATACATTAAAAACCTTAAGAAAATTTGACCTTTTGAATGATGTTTCGGATGTCGAGATAGGAGACTTCCGAAGACAGAATATTGAAAAGCAATTAATTTTTCTCTTAAAAACAACAAACATATGAAACATATGTATGAACTGCGGTTATGAAAAATATATATATGCACGATCCTTCGCAGTAAAGCACTATTTGAGCAATAGTGAAAATCAGACCTGAAAAAAATTTCAGGCCTGTACGGGATCTGAAATTTTTTTCAGGTCTGATTTTCACTATTGCTCAAATAGTGCTTTACTGCGAAGGATCGTGCATATATATATTTTTCATAACCGCAGTTCATACATATGTTTCATATGTTTGTTGTTTTTAAGAGAAAAATTAATTGCTTTTCAATATTCTGTCTTCGGAAGTCTCCTATCTCGACATCCGAAACATCATTCAAAAGGTCAAATTTACTTAAGGTTTTTAATGTATTTCTAGAATAACAAGTATAGCCTTAATTGTACTATTTTTGTATTTTTGTAGTATCTTGTTTTTATACCTACTCTTTTTATTTAACTTCCTGATTTCTGTAAACCCCTATACTTACTCTCTCTAATTAATTTCCTGATTTCTGTAAACTTGTATACCAACTTTTTTTTCTTAGTTAAGACACGACCCACCTAGATTACCTAGCTACCTGTGGACATGTCCAATTTGTTAAAATAGTCATTAGAAATTAGAATAAATAAAGGTTGTTGTTGTTGTTGTTCACTTTGTTGTTAGAAATGAAAAACACCTGTTAGAAATTAACAATGCTTTTAAAATTGTTACTCAAACACATTTCAATTCTCATCACATGATCAATGGCATTGTTAGAAAGCAAGATTAAGATTAACAAGCTTACGATATGTCCTTGAGTACAAAACATGTACAATTAAGTCATACCAAACTGGCAAGACTTCATTTTGTCATTTGAAACAAATAATGCTTCCCTTAGAAAAGAGCAACACTTTTTCAATCTTTATGGCGTTGTCAGAAACAAAGAGCACTTAATAAGTGATTAAGATTTCTCAGCTTTATTGTGTATTTACAGGCTATCAGCCTGATCTTTTAAGCATTTGTTTCTTTTGGTGGCTTGAGCCTT